TTTTAAGGCAGCTGCGTTTAAAAACTGATTGACAATACAAGTTTACCGATTATTAGGATTCGCTAAGTATGTTAGTTCTATTAACTTCCAGCCGGCAAAACCGCATCGTGGATGAGGTAGCAACACCCAACACAAATTGGAAATGAAGCACACGTCAAGGGCTTTTCAAAAAGGCCAAAGCCTCGTCAAGTGCTTTTGTCGGGAGAACAGCTAAGCTGGTAATCCTTTCACGAGATGAAACGGAAAACAGAACCATCCCAGCCTATCTCTTTTATTTTTAAAAAATCAATTGCTTTCTGAGCCTACTGATTCCAAAACCCGATACGATTCTCAGTTGAAAAACAAGCCAAGTTTTCGAAAAAATAAATCAATCAATACCCTGTTTAGCATTAATTAATTTAAAATCAATTTCTTTTTCTGTTGGAATACGTAGCTTAAGAGTTCGCTGATTTTCTTTTAATAAATTTATTAATTTCTTGCGCAAAAGTTTAAAAGTTAAATTTAACAATTTCAATGCTTTATGGGAACAGTTTAATTTTTTTTTATCCCTTTAACTTCTACGCACCGGTAGTATTTGTTGGAATCAGTGCATCTTTGAAAAGAATTCCCTCTACGTAGTAACCCGTGCCGCCAACAATAACAGGCAACTTCCCCGTAGCCCACAGATTCTCCATCACAGCCACTGCTTTGTTACAAAATCTGAAAAACGGGCATCACTCTATTACTGTCACTGGCGTTGCACGGTAACAACTTTTTCAAGAGAAGAAGAGAACAGGCTAATGAAGTTTTACTGATGAACATTGAAAGTGGAGGTGGACGGATCGAGAAAGCTCATCAGATGGTGCCTTATTCCATGCATTTCCTCTGCGCTTACTTTGTTCGTGGCAATATCCAAGCCTGCAACAGTGCATTCAGATGCAGGCGAAAACGTATTTCTCGTATTTTGAGCTTCAAATACTACTGCCAGGTGCCCCCACCTCTAAGGCGCTATCTTTTTGGATTTTTAATTTTTAAAGCTTCATTCATTAAAATTTTCAATTTACTGCGGAATTTGTACATGCAAACTCTAAATAATTAGCCAACGTACCGACTGCCGGTGCGAAAACGGGTTTTTTGCATAGTTCCCCGCAATCTTTTGTCGTTTACGGCACTATTTTTTCCGGCAGATGCTTCTAGTTAAAAGAATTGAAGCTAGTCAACACGACCTCCTGCTGAAACTTTCACGCGCCCATACCCGAGTATCAAACGCAAGAAAGTGTTTATTTTGAGGATATTGGCCTATACATAAGTACAGAATAAGTTGCCAAAGTTTCAGTCCTGTAGCTTTTGAGATGAAAAACTGTGACAGACGCACACACAGATACACACACACACACACATACGCAGACAACCTCTCGTCAATATCCGTTTTTGCATTGCATAGATGCAAAAAACGTATAAAAACGATCCTAGCCAGCCTTGATATCACACTCTGTTGTGATCCGCCTCTGGATATGCCTTCGAAAATGCAAGCTAACGGAAATGAATGCAGTGGATGCTAGCATTTC